AAAAACATACAAGGACAACACCTCAGACATAAAATGCATACATTCCCAGATAACATCAAACGAATCATACTGCAAATACCTGGCACAAACCAATAAAAGATCATTAACAGCTGGCATTCAGGACTTTTATGGACTATGGGATTAAAGGACCTTTTCACACACTTTTCCAACAGCTCTGCCTTCTACATTTCGGTGTCAAATCAGATCTTTTGTTTTAGGCACGCCCGTTTCCAAACGACTTGGCGGGCACCAGTTTCAAAACACACTCATCAATCGCAAGAACGCAGAGCTCGGCGACATCACCCCAGTGACCCCTCGCAATGCAGAACTCAGTAACCGTGTGACATCCTCTCTGAAATCTAAACTAACTCGAAAAATACCAGGCTGTCAACCTAGCCTGGAGTGAGCACGTTTCCATGCAATGAACAGTAGTAATTCTGCTCTGTTTTGTAAATTGAATGTGCAGGCTTTTTTCACTCTTAGGAACTGAGCTCTCATAAGGCACTGCCTTTTCTTGCATCTTCCGGGAAGCATTTGCTCTTTTTTTACATTTGAACTTTTTTTAAATTAGTCTCGTGTGCATGCACTTAGTACGGGACAGTCACCTAATGTTTATGTGTTGGGTAATGACTGTAGCACTATAGGGGGACACTCTGATGAAGGGATTAGTATTGTTGCCCTGCAGTGCTGGAGCCCTAGATTCGGTTCCTGGGGTGGTGTCTGTGTGGAGTTTATAGTTAATATATAGTAAGTAATATAGTTACAGTAGTTGGAGTGAGAGGATTAGGGCTAGTAATAGCAGTTATAGTAAGACAACACAAAATAACAAGCATTATTCAATGCAAATTAATATTAATGCTGTTAATGGCACTATCAAATAGCATCAGCTGTAACAGTAGAAATAATAGCATTGGCATAAAGTGCACAAAAACACTGCCTTACAACAGGTATTGATATTATTAGATCTTGTGATGAAAGTAGTAGCAGAAATGCCCACAAGAGCATCGTCAGTTAAGATGAATAATACTCATAGTCATCAATCCTAGTGTAAAAACTGCTACAACGAGGTTAGAGACTTTCTCTTGTCTTCAAGACTTCTTTAAGTAGCCACACTTTCCCCATTTATGTGTGACGGTAGTGTCTGCAGCCTTGCTGTCTCTCAGGCACCTCCCAGCGCTTCCACAGACATCTGGGAATCCCCCTACGCCGAAAGGCCAGCCTCCCATCCGGGGTGCATGCAGCACTATGGCGATTTCCTGGGGACTGACCTCATCGTACTGGGCTGCAGGCACCCATGAGCCCCGACATGAGTCCACATATTTGTGTATTTCACAGATGCTATTGGACTACTCCGAAAATCAATAACCACACATTCCAAATGATAACAATGAGAAGCAATCCCTTCCCTACCGGTATTCACCTCCCAAAGCAAAATATCAGAAGATTTAACGTCGCCGGACATCATCGAATGATTCATGTTTTTCCTTTCCCCCAGTTCTCTAAGCACTCTGGATGATCTAAGAGGTCAGTGGACTTGTGGATTCTCAGTATTTTGTTACTGGTATGTATAAAGAGGAACTAGCGCTTGTCTGGGGCTCCTGACTCTGCCATTCAGCAGCTGGGGGTTCCTAAAGACAGGACACGAGCCCAGAGAGGGTTGGCACTGCCGGTGAAGACGGTCAGCATGCTGGCTCCCTGTCTGCCCTTGAGAAGATTAGGCACCGAAACGAGGCCGTCTATCGGACTAGCAGGAATCACCTTCGGAAGAAATGGAGCAAATTTAAACAAGGAGTGGGCTGGTTATTGCCTCCTCCACACAATGTCTCCCTTTCGAGTTCCACGACGCCCAGAAAAAATCTGTCAAAGTCTCAGGAATAAAAAACAAACCCAAGGCTGGCCTGGTTTAAAAACCGAAAGAATGGAGATTAGGGATTGAGCCTTGCTGGGTTATAGGAAGAGCTTTTTGCCAATAGAAAATGGAGGTTATGTTATGTGATTGGAATTTGTATGACAGACGCAGAGATCTAAATCCATATAAGCTCCTTTAACATTTAACATAGAGTCTTTCTGCCTTAATACTGCGTTTCATAAAAGTGTCTCCAAATCGCGGTCAGATTAAATGCGGGCAGGGAGAGGAGGAGGGGGGGGCAGGTCATCCCATCACTGCCCCAGAGACTCGGCTCGCAGTCGGGGGCGCCGGCCTCTTTTTCAAAGCAGGTTCCGGTCCCCGTCTCGCGGAGAGCCTGGGGGCGACTCAAGGTGTGCCGGAGACACCGCCGTCCTGAGTGCTCCGGGGTGTCCAGGTGGCTGGACGCTCTCGCTCCAACTGTGCGTCCTGCTGGTGGCGAGCAGAAGCCCTGGCCTAGTTGCTATCAGGAATCAAGTCTGCTCTTTGCTGTGACAGCGAATCGTCCCCCGATAAGACCCAGAGCTGCCTGTCTCTCTTGAACCAGACCTCTCATTAATCTCCCCTTTGTCTGCGCTTCAAGAGTGCTGTGTGGCCGAGCTTCTGCTTAACACAAACTGACCCAGCTGCTTGAGCGCTGTAGACGTCCGATGTCTCCTGGGGCGCTGCAGGCCCGCTACAGTGTGCGCTGGGGTTGTGCTGTGTCATTCTGTTTACTTCCTCTGCGCCCAAGGCTCTGACTTCCACTGTTCCACCGTGCAGCGCAGGTAGAACTGTCATTCGGGTGGGTGGCGCGGGCTTTCCAGAGGGGCTGTCTGGGTGGAGTTTGCATGTTCTCCCCGTGTTCTCATGAGTTTTCTCCAGGTGCTCCAGTTTCCTCCCACAATCCAAAGGTGTGCTGGTGGGTTAATTAGACTCTGGGAAAACTGGCCCTGGTGTGAGTGTGTGTGTCCTGTGTCCATTTTCTAACTCTCTCATCCAGGACAGGGTCACTGGAAGGATCGGAGCCCATCCCAGCAAGCACCAGGCACAAGGCAGGGTACACCCTGGACAGGACACCAGTCCATCACAAGGCACACACCCTGGACAAGACACCAGTCCATCACAGGGCACACATACACCCTGGACAGGGCGCCAGTCCATCACAGGACACACACAGACAGACACACCCTGGACAGGGCACCAGTCCATCACAAGGCACACACCCTAGACAAGACACCAGTCCATCACAGGGCACACACACACCCTGGACAGGGCGCCAGTCCATCACAAAGCACACACCCTGGACAAGACACCAGTCCATCACAGGGCACACACAGACACACACTCTGGACAGGACACCAGTCCATCACAGGACACACACAGACACACACACTCACACCAGGGCCAGTTTTCCCAGAAGCCAATTAGCCCACCAGCTTGTCTTTGGACTGTGAGAGGAAACCCACACTAACCTGGGAAGAACACGCAGACTCCACCCAGACTCCCCACCACGCCACTGTGCTGCCCACTAACGGTAGTTCATTTTAAGGTCATAACTCGAAACCTACTGTCTCAACACCAATGGAAGAGGAGATTCAGAACCTCCAGCAGAGCATCTTAAAGCAAGAAGCGGCTCTATCTTTAATAGTTGCCCGCGTTGAAACCTCCTTTGTGATGCCTGTCTCCCGTCTGTGCATGCCCATTAGATAAAACCGATGTGTTCAGCAAACACACAGCCAATACGCACAATGGCACCTGAAAGGCTCACTGCGCAGGGAACTCCTCTGTCTGACAGCAGCCCTCGACCTGTATCTGAAATCTTTGCTTCAGAGGAACCTGGCCACTGTCAGATTGATTGGAGAGTGGAAATGAAATGATTTTTCGGGTAGTGTTTCCTACCAGAGGGACAGAAAGGCCTTGATTGAGGCGATTGCAGGTGAAACCCTGCGAGGATCGTTACCGATTAATCAGCACTGAAAGGAAAATGAGCCCAGCACATCCACCGCACCAGACAGGCAAGGAGGTTTGCTCATCCCCAAGATTACAGGTTTAACCTTTTTCTACGCACTTGTTTGTTTTACTGGAATCTTGATGGTATAATTGGAGTAACATGAGAAAGAACACCGAGCAATCAATGTGCTACTCTCTACTCTCTCTTTCACGCAGGTCTACAAAGGCCAACAGATTGCGGGAGAGTGCACATTTACACTAGGCACACAGGTGGTGAAGGTGGGGCAGTGGGTAGCATTGCCACCTCGCAGTGCTGTGGCCCCAGGTTTGATTCCTACGGTAGCTTGTTCCACACTTCCACAACTCTTTGTGTAAAGAGGTGCCTCTTGTTTTGCTGTGCAGTTCCTACTTGTGTCCTATGGTTGTGTCCTCTGGAAGCTTGTTCCCTACTCCCACAATCCTTTGTGTGGAGTTTGCATGCTCTCCCCCAATTCCCAGAGGGTTTCCAGCAGCAGCCTCAGCTTTCCCAGGAGTCTCCCCTCCAGGTACTGGCCAGGCTCACACCTGCTGAGCTCCAGGGGGGCTGCC